TTTTGCCGAGCTCCACCCTAGCAATTCCTTTTTGATTGGGGCCAATATCACCCTAGTAGCTGGGAGGATATAGGGTACATAACGTGTCCATTTCCTATGCCCAAAGCCAAAATAATGAAATATATATATATATATAGATAAATATATAATTTTTGTTATTTTTTATTTAAAAATATAAATTTTATTGATTTTTAAATAAAATAATAAGCACTTGCGGCCTTAATCGTGATAGAAGTGCATCAATGCTTTTTGATTTTTTTGTTAAAGATTCAAATTGTCAGTGCAGTAATATTGTAACTATTTTCTCATCTCTCAATTTTTTATTAGTAAAAAAATATATAAATAAAATAAAAAATAATAATAAAATTTTAATTTTTTATTTAAAAATTAACTTTATATTTTTATTTGAGAATTAATTAAATAATTCTTATTTAAAATATAATAAAATTTGTATCTTTAAATTAAAAAATAATAAAATGTATACCTTTGTTTATACTTTTTTCTCTCAAAATAATGTCTGTTTTTTTCAATTACCTAAAAAATTAAATAATAATATTTTTAATAAAAATAAAAAATTTTAAATTTAAATTACATAATATAAAAATAAATTAAATTCAAAAACTAAATAAAGTTATCTCCCATTACGTGGAGCAATTCCAGATAAAGAAAAAATGTCCATTTCTCTCCTGAAAAAAACGTGCAAGAATGGTACATCACGGGTGCTGTGTCAAGCATGAGTTTTTTAATTACTTTTTTAAATTAAGTTGTATAATAAAGAAGGATTTTTATTTTTTCCACATCCTATTTTTTTCAAATAATATAAAAAATATAAAAACAGAATACACCATGAATAGTCTGGTCTAACTCAGTAGCATTGGACCTTAAATTAAAACTGTTCATTTCTGTGAGTGACATGTTAGAGTCTCATGGAATTCATTTTTCTCCTCTCCCATATATACCCGTAAATATTGTTAAAATTGTTCAAAAAAAAAAAAAAACACGATTATTTACACAACCTATTTACGCATCCTATTTAAATAGATATGGCTTAAATTTATAATCCCTTATTTTCTTGGATGAAGATTCACAATGAGGCGGAGTCAAGGAAACACCTAAGGTGGCGCTTTTTTGTTTAAGGCAAAATCATTCTATAAGACCTTAAACCTATCCCATTTTAGCGTAAAGCCCCTTGAACTAATAAACGAGCAAATAGGCCCTCAAACTATGCAAATTACAGCAAATTAATTCTTTGTTAATAGATTAATTGACGTGAGAATTAAAAAGAACGAATGAAGTTAATACATCAATGTGGTATTTAAACAAAATTAGCAACTAAATTGAAGTTATTCATTTTTTAATTGTCATATAAATAATATTAATGACAATTATTTCTTTTATAAGTCACATTAACTAAAATTAACAGAAACAATCAATAGGCATTAAACAAAGAGCTAATTTACTTTAATTATATAGTTTAAAGGTTTATATGCTTGTTTTTTTAATTTAGGAGCATATATGCTACAATGGAGCAAGTTTGATGGCTAAAGGAGTGGTTTTGCCTTTGTTTAATCCTAACTTTAAAGTTTAAAGCTTTCGCAATCTCTAGAAGAGATTTAGGATAGGATCTTTGACTCTCTTTTTTCTTCTCTGTAATCTTGGTCGTATACCTTTTTATTTCTTATTTTTTAAGATTTGAAGTAGGCCCACGCCCAATCTTTATCATATGATAATCTTGTTTTCAATTATTATTAACTCACTTAAATTTTTTTAATATAAAAATTAAGAATTAAATTTTAAATTTTAAATTTGTGGCTAATAACATAAATCATTTTTTCATCAAATAACATAATTAATGATATGAAATTTATTATATGAGCATAATTTTATTGTCAATCATTCAAAGAATTTAGTAATAATTTTTTTCTGTTGAAAGTAAAACATCTTGAAATCAAGTCACATAACACATAAATGAGATGAAATAAAAAGTAACAGAAAGTATATTTTATTGTGTGACTAAAATAAATAAATAAATATATATACATTTTTTATATGTGTAAAATACTAATAAAATGGGCTCATTGTCAATTATTTGGAGCATGAGATGGTATGTATTCTCTTTTAGAAAAGGCAAAAGCATATTTTGGATTACCATTGATTCATTACACATTTGATAGGGTATATCACTGCTACATGAAAGACCTCCACCTTCAATTCCTCTCATTTTCTTCATCTAACCTAGGGATGGCCTGCAGTTCCAAGCCGGACTGGAGTTAGGACCAACATGCCTACAAGACCAAGGTCCATAATGGAGTATATCTGTAAATTTTCTTTTCTTTTCAAAAAATGCATTCAAACTTTCAAATGAGGAGTTTTAAGGGGTTCCTCTGGTATCTTTGCTTTTTATTTTATCACTTTCCAAGAAAAATGGTCGGAAATGGCCAAACTTGATAACAATTGCAGGAGTATTATCAGAAATTGAGATTGATCAGAGGCGTGCTTCCTTCCAGGAATTTTGGGAATGGAGCTTGAGAAAAGATAGTTTGTTGTTCCAAAAATCAAGACAAAAATGGTTGCAGGAAGGTGATGCCAATAGTAAATTCTTCCATGGGTGCATTATTCGGAGAAGGAAAAGGAATGGAATTGAAGGGGTAATGAAGAATAATGTCTGGATTGAGGATGTACCAACGGTGAACAAATATATTAAAGATTATTTTGAGCTCAAGTTTGATGAGGATGAGTGGAGAAGACCTAGTGTTAATTTAAATGGCTCAAAGCAATTAAGCCTAGAGAACAATAGCTAGCTGACCATAGAGTTCTCAGAGGAAGAAATCAAGGAGATTGTATGGAATTGCAGTGGAAATAAAAGCCCATGACCAGATAGGTTTAACTTCAATTTCATTAAAAGATCGTGGCCAACTTTAAAACAAGATATTGTGGCTTTTGCAAAAGAGTTTTGGGCTAATGGGAAGCTAATGAAAGGAAGCAACTTGTCCTTTATTGTCTTAATTCCAAAGAAGGAGAATCCTCAAGGATTGGGGGATTTTAGGCTCATTTCCCTCATTGGTTGCATGTATAAAATTATTTCTAAACTCCTTGCTAACAGATTGAGGAAAGTGATTCCAAATATCATTAGCCAAAATCAATCAACATTTGTTGGTGGGAGACAAATTGCCGATGGAATTGTGGTTGCAAATGAGGTTATTCATGAAGCTAAAATGAGGAAAAAGCCCACCTTGATATTCAAAGCTGACTTTGAAAAGGCTTACAATAGTGTCAATTGGAACTTCCTCGATTCAATGATGGATAAAATAGGTTTTTGTTTGAAATGGAGAATGTGGATTAAGGAATGTCTATCGACCTCAACTATATCAGTGCTGGTTAACAGTTGCCCCATAGAGGAATTTCGTATGAATAAGGGGCTGCGACAAGGTAATCCTTTAGCTCCCTTTTGATTTCTTTTGGTTGCTGAGGCACTAAATGGGCTAATTCTCAAAGAAAAGGAAGAAAATCTTTATAAAGGAATAGAGGTGGGAAGAGAGGGACTTGTGGTCACACACTTCCAATTTGCTGATGACTCTATCTTTTTCTGTGATGCACTAGTCCTAAATAATAAGACACTAAAGGGTGTGCTTTGAACCTTTGAGTTGGTTTTAGGACTCAAGGTGAACTTTAAAATTGCTCCATATGGAATTAATGTGAAGTCGGAGGATATTTGTGAATGGGTTGAGAAACGTAACTATGTGGTAGGCTCTATTCCTTTCAAATATCTCAGAATTCCCATTGGTGCTAATCTGAGGAAGCTGTCAACCTAGGCTCTTGTTATTGAGCGCTTGAGGAGTAAATTGTCTAACTGGAAGTGCGAATCATTATCCTTTGGTGGAAGAATTGTTCTCTTGAATGCTGTTTTATCAAGTATCCCAGTCTACTTTTTTTCAACTCTCAGAGCTCCTAAAAAGGTAATTAACCTTCTTTCCCTGATTTGAAGAAGATTTTTGGGGGGGGGGGTGGAGAGGGTGATAGGAAGATTGCATGGGTTAAATGGGTTAATATATGCAAGAGTAGAAAAGAGGGAGGTTTAGGTGTTAAGGATTTGGATAGCTTTAACCTAGCACTCTTAGGAAAATGGAAATGGAGAATAGTGGTAGAAAAAGATGCTTTATGGAATAGGGTGGTTGAGGCAAAATATGGGATACATAGGAGAAGGGATTGGGAGGGGAAGGAGGTGAAATCTAACTGCTCACCTTGGTGGAAGGCACTGTGGAAGCTAGAGAAAGATCTTAGATCCAAAGAAGGATGGATTAGTAAGGGTATGGTGAAGTCTATGGGGGAAAGGAATGATACCCTATTTTGGCATGAAAAATGGTGTGGGGATATGCCTTTTAAGGAGAAGTTTAATAGGTTATTTAGGTTGGCAGAACACAAGGATGTGTTGGCTAAAAATATGGGAGAATGGAGAGATGGAGAATGGATGTGGAAATGGTGCTCGCGTATGGAGTTGCTAGGGCGTGAATAAACTTTTTTACAAGATTTAAATGGGATGCTGCAAGGGACTAAGCTGGTGAAAGGAAAGCAAGATTCCTGGATATCGAGGAATGACCCGGAGGGAACTCATACCACAAAATCTACATACATCATACTAAACAGCAACAATTCAAAACCAACTTCAAAAAAATTCAGCATGCTATGGAATAGAAAGGTATTGCTTAAAGTTTCAACATTTGTGTGGAAAGCTTTGCAAAATAGAATTCCTACTTGTGATAATTTGTTAAA